ACACACACACACACACACACACACACACACACACACACACACACAGGTTAGTTAATCCTTCAGAGTTGAACTTTGTGTTAAATGTAAATAAAAGGATTTATAAATGTCTAACCTGAACAGGTGTTCAGTAAAGCTGCATCAGGTCTGTACTGGTCCAGGTCCAGGTCTAGGTCCCAGCCTTGTGTGTCCTGTGTCCTCAGGTAAAGGTGACGTGTTCGGAGACGTGTTCTGGAAAGAAAGCACGTTAGCTCACGCCTGCGCCAACGTGCGAGCGCTGACTTACTGCGACCTGCACGTCATCAGTAGGGATGCCTTGCTCAAAGTCTTGGAGTTTTACTCGGCCTTCGCCAACTCCTTCTCCCGCAACCTGGTCCTCACCTGCAACCTGCGCAAACGGGTAAGACCGGTACCACCGGCCCACTCTCCTGCAGCTGTTTGTCCTGATGCTGGGGGGCTCAGGTTCAGGTGTCAGATCCTGGACCGGACCTGAGACCAGACCATGTCTCAGTCCTACAGTCTGTCTTCTTCCTGTCGTTCTGTCCATCTTCCATCTGTTCCCTCAGTTTGAGCAGCTCTGTGGTTAAAGCCTTTCAGATGCAGAACTGTTTTTCAAACAGACTTCCTGTGTGACGAAGTGACGACGCTGCAGAGTCGGGCTCTGCTCCACAGCTCCACGCTCCGTCACGTTTCAGCCTCATCGGCACTTCTACATCCACGAGTGTCAGGAGCTGGAGCTGGAGGCAGGAAGGGCCTGTTGTGTTCAGCTTAAATAACTGCTGCCTCTTCTGCAGGACTTGGTCCTGAATTCTTCTGCAGCAGGAAGTTTCTCCAGATGAATGTTTAACCTGCAGCTCTGGGTCATGCTGCTCAGAGGTCCAACTGTTTTACCTGAAAGTGTCAGGTTGTAACCTTCAGAGCCACCAGGTGAGTGTCAGTGACAGGTGGAGGCAGATGTGCAGCAGCAGCTGTCAGTGTCAGTCCTCTGAAGTCACAGGGTGGGGGCTGACACGTGTCCACCTCCCTGAGAGACGSACCTTCAGACAGTTTACCTGCTGCTGCTGGTTCTGAGTCAGGAGGAGCTGTGTGAACATCACTGGTCCTGGTTCTGTAGGACTCATAAAAACCTGAGGAGGGGCTGTTAACAGGCCTGCTGGGAGCTCAGGTGCAGGGCCCGGTTTTCCCAGGACAGCATGAGTTCTGGTGGGTTCCTGCAGTTCTGCCTGGATTATTGATGAGGTGGACTGACAGCAGAGGGTTGGTGTCGTCTCTTCAGACGATGTGAGCTCGCTCTGAAGAAGCTTCACAAAGTATTCAGTCTTTCCTCCAGCTTCTAACACTCAGGAAGTCTTAAAGACAGGGGCGCCAGCAGTGGGGGGCCAGGGGGGCCATGACCCCCCCGAGATTAAGCTGGCCACCCTAGCAGCCCCCGCAGTTTTATCCTCTTGAATACCCAGGTTTCTCCTTTTTCAATTCTCCTACGTATTTAGGAGTAGAACCTCATAAAATAAAAACAAACACTGATTTTTTAACAATTAAGAGTTAAAAACATGAATTTATATTTTATTTAAAATAAAAAATTAAATAAAAATTAAAATGTAGCACCTCTGAATAAGGACAACCAGACCAGTCTAAAACCA